TTATGATTGAGATGGAATCTATTTTAGAGAGGTATGTTAAGATAGGATTTGATTCCCAGCCAAATTGAATGTAATTGACATACATGATGTCATAATAGTGTCCAGTAAACGTTATATCTGATCATTGATTATGTTGTGAATAGTATTGGGTCATTTATCTTCGTCATTATGAAGTTTGTTATTGAAATCGTATGACCTAGTTGTTTTTGCCTGACACTACAGTCTATTTTCAATCGTACAAGGAGCCGCCTAAGGAGAACCGTCACTTTAATCTCTCATGTTCCATGTGTAGGAGACACAGAACTTTTGATATCTTTATGTCATAAAGCCTGTTTATGGATTTCTAACTATCTGAATAGATCGCATGATAAGATAAACGTATTTTGTATTGATTAATATACTTCCTTCGTGATTTACCTACATATTTTAACGTAAATTGCCTTATTATTTGGAGTTTATTTCTCTCTTACAATTCGGATATCAATATAATTGATAACTCATCGACGTAATAATTTGATCCTAATTCTCGTTTAAATATTATTAGTGATGATCAAAAGGACTGTTCCAACAATATCAATAGATTCGGCAGAACGACGTTTTAACCCAAATTCATTGTGGTTTATCTCGAACAAGACGTTTAGCACACGCTTTGCAAACCTTTGAATATGTTTTGCTTACTTTACAATTCCCTAATGGTGACCGGAAATAATAATTCATTTCATTTAACATTTTAGTGCTCTACCATTTGTAAGATATAATCATAAAGCTGTTTAGGTATATTTGTAGAAAGGCCTTTTACACCTCTGTTGTGAAACGTGTGTTTTTTTTCATTCATTTTAACATTATGGGTTAACAGCTTTTATTCCGTAGGTTATATCTCATTAAAGATCAAAATACCAACGCCTAGCAATAAAGTTAAAAAAATAATCCTTGGCAAGTTAAATAAGGACAAAATTTATTTATATAACAATTAGATTAAACTTGAAACACATATTTTTATGATCAAATTTTAAAATGATCAACATTGAAACTTTGTTTTTATCATTTTTCAGATTAATGAGACATTATGATAAATAAGAATAAAGTGGTATATCATCATAATTAAAACGATTAAAAAAAGAAATTTGAATAAATTCTGCACTTAACCGTTTCTGCACATATGTTTTCCCCAAAAGTTAAATTGATAAATCATAGCTTATCAAACTGTCAGGAAATACGAAATTCGTCATTCAATAGCACGTGCGTTTTATTCTCCACCTTTGCTGGTTAAACCAATTTGGATTTTCAGTTTTTTGGTACATACATGTAGCATTACCGATGACTTCTAGAGGAACAGATTACAACGTAACTGTATTGTGCTGTCTAATTATTATTGGCATATTAGATATATTACTAAGTCTTATATAGATTCAATGATATGTGTGTGTCTTACTTACATTTTTCAAGATACAAGGTGGTAGACTCTCCTCGCTGATTTCTTATTCTCGAGGTTCATTGAGGTGATTTATCGGATATTAAACATTCCTTCTATGTTTTAGTTAATAAAGTATATATTACCAAATTGTTTTAGGTGCTATGAAATGTGTGTGCCTGAAGTTATATATTTTTATTTGACGCTACAAAATTATTCTACAATGAACCACCATGACAAATAAGTAGTGCGACCTGACATAGCTTCTAACAGCACTATCGTTTTCAGTAAATGCACAATTGGATATTCACCTACGTACAGAGCTCGGCCTGTTGGAAAATGTTGATAGTCATCAATTATCGATTTTAGGTGAATATGTGATTATATGGTGCTGAGTCTTTCTAAACAAATCAAATAGCCCTACGTTACAAATGGCTTATTGATCTATTATAAAAATGCACTTGAATCGTATGCTACATCCGATATTACGAGTTTTTGTTCTTAACTGATACACGCAAAACATGTTCTTGCTCAAATTGATTACTTCGATTTCCAATTTCTTATACAGCAAACTGTCCAGAGTAAAATATGTACTTCAAGCGAAATGTTGTACTTCGTAGATAGTAAGGTAGGTTTTGAAACATACAACAGAGTCTTGTACACCACACTACCTTAAGCGGAAACTAAAATCAAGTCTCATTTTTTTGCTATATCAGTCTTTCTGATTGAAACTAGTATTCAAATGTTATTTTACATTACAAGCAATTTATTTCTATTTATTTATATATTTTTTATTTGGCGGCGAAAGTGTTTTCGGAAATTGCGGAATATTATTCCAAAAAATATCGGTATTATTATAAGCCGATCTGCTTAGTATCCCTATTAGGCTGAATAGCATGTACAAAATATTTTAAGATGACAGGCAGGAAACTTTACCAAAGTTGTAATGTCATGTTCAGTTACCTTGTTAATTTTTGTACTTTTATAGCGAAACTTTCGAGAATTACATATTTAGTCATCCATATCACGGACTTCTTATTTCCAGTTTAATACCTCAACATTAATACCCAATGCATAAACGGTAACAAACTGAATGATTAATGCAATGAATTAATCTCCAAGATATTTTAACTTGGCCATCTCCAAAATTCTAATAATAGCCTCTCTTGCTTGTACAATTTCTGTGTTACAGTTGATTAGCTACCCAATTGTCTATTCCGGGTTTTTTTTCTCTCGTTTTTTTTTTAAGTTAATGCATGAATATTCATCAGATTTGCGCCACCAATCAACGCTATCACATACCCTATTGACGACTGGTAATGTGAATGAATTCAACAACATATGGAAATGTATTTATTTGTTGTCCGCTTTAAAACATTTAAATAAAATATAAAAAAAACATGAGCTAGATTAAATATCAGGATTACTTTGGTATGAGGGTTTTGCTTACAAATAAACAAAGCGTTTCACTAAACATATGTCAAGCTCCGGTGCAGACGTTTTATTGTCATCATTCCAACGATGATATTTTAAAGTCTAAAATCATTAACAGCTGTTTAATGTTTTTCATGAATCCGAGGAAGGCATTATGACGAAGCCAAATGTGGCACAGGAAAAGATAACTCTTCCGTCTATAGTTTTTGTATATGAGTTCATGGCTTTATTCCCTTTCCAGGCATTCTTGGTTACTATGGTAGTCTTTCTGTATCGACCTATGAATTTCAATTTTTTCTTTGTGGCTTGGTTTAAAAGAATGCCACTTTGTTTCTCATTTGCGCTTATTGTTAAGACAAACAATCACGGTTCTTCTTATATATCCCGTTTGACATATGATCTCATAATGACCTATGAACGTCACTTATTAGGGTCGAATTGTTTGCGTGTGACCTTTATATAGCATGAAACCAATCCTTAATTTCTTTGGTTTCCAAGGAGCAATGCGATATAGAATCAAGAAAGTAGATGTTAGAGATGTCTTGTGCAATAAACTTCCATTATTCCTATGTTCTCTTCATAAATATATAGATCATCTTTTGATTGTTGACTATAAGGAATATAATTTTATTCTGACTTTCTTTGCTTAGTATGTTCCTCTTTAATTTTATATTCCACTGAATCACATAACAATTTATTTTATTATATGATTACATGTTCTAAGGGGCCATATCTTATTTTAAAGAATACTGTAGAAATATAATATTTAACGTTATTTGCATCTCTGTGCAAACGTGTATGTTTTCGTGCTAATTTATGCATGCGATAAAAAAAGATATCAATATCTAGCTTACTTTTATGGTGGTATGGGTATAGGATGACAAGGAAATGTAGATTTTGCTAAATTAGGAATAATACTGCATAGTCGTTGATTGTCAACTTTATTTACCTGTGACCGATTTCATATTTGTTAAGACATGTTTTAATAAAGAATGATTACATACATTAATATAGGATATAATTACCTGTGTTTTCTCTTTTTCAGCACCTGTAATGAGTTGACAATAAACATGATAGCTCCACGTGTATTTCAGAAACCCTATCAATGCACCTGTTCCGCCTGGAGTTTTGGCGGGTTTTGTGTTTGCTATTTTTCTGGGTTACACTTTCGGTTCAATTTTTCATGTTTTTTCTTCACTTTTTTTTTTAACACATCATAACAGAATTGGACGTCGGAAATTAAACTCATAAGATATCATTATTTACGTTGTCTGAATATGTCAGTGTCATTAACACTCCTATGAATATAATGATAACATAATGAAAAATAATTTGTTTATCAATTCATTAATTCGAGGTTCTTATATACCGCTTTATCACAACCTAGTTCGTAGGTCGTCTCAAAGCGGTTCAATTTTTTATATCCGTGGTCATAGGGCCTTTGCAGTCAGCTAGTATCTTTCTCAACTCTCTGGGGAGCATACAGCCGGTGCTGCTATTTCGGCGCTCACAGCTTGTATTCAGCCATTCTAGCACTGCCTAACCCCGCACGTACTCATTTACTGCTGAGTAGAATGGAACAAGCGGAGTAAAGTATCTTTCTCAAAGATACAACACAGTACCGTGCCGTGACTCGAACCCACAACCCTTCGGTCGCGAATCCGGCGTTCTACCACAAACTACAATGCCTCCTTATACAGGCCTCTCTGATGCATTTTGAGTATAGTTATATCGTACTACTGAAAGTGAGTTTAAATCAGGTTTTGAGTAATACGTTTTTATGAGTTCAATGTTCTGGACCTATGTTTTGACGACGACAGAACTCGAGATGTTGCTACATTTTAATGATTATGAACGTAATAAATCAATTATTCTGTTAACGACGTCTGACTCTGCTTAGAATTATAATGATACACGCACGACCTAATTATATATATATAGTTCAAAAACTTATAAGAGATTACCGAAGTGTCAACAAAACCCTAATTCGAACTCAAAATCGATGAAACTAGAGGAAAGTATGAACAAAGAAAAGATTTTTATGGAGACCACTGAAAGAAATGCAAGGAGAACAAGACCAAATAATACGAATGATACGATAAAACTAAAGGTAATACAAATAAAAGATGCTTAATAAATAACAAAAGCAGTTTTATTTACATTTATCATTATAAATATGTTTTATTGACATTTACAAGGATACGAAAACGAAAGATTCAATATTTGCATACTTTTCTAAAGTGATTGTAATATGTACATGTGTGGACCACAAAACACTGTGGATGCAAACGTCTTGTTCTTACATAAATCTCCTGCGTTCAAATATAACTTATCGAATTTATGGAAATTGGACGGAACTAAGTAGAATTACTAATAAAACAGATGATAACGTAAGATGGAAGGAATATTAATTGCCGTATTGTTTAAATGAAAGGCTATTGTGTTCGATGATTGCCCATTATTTGACGCACTTGACAAAAGGGATAAAGTATTTAACATAAAGTCTGTCTGATGTATTCACAATGTCACACTTCCAACTCTGAATCGTTGTCCGTTCCATCTGATTCCTCGCACCAACTGTCCTCGGCAGCAGATTTTTGGAACACACTCTTTTGCGAGTCACTATTTGATCGTTTACCCGTAAATGTTTTCGACAAGGTCCGGGTCATTTCTTCCTCTGCTTTCATTCTTTTGAATTTTGTCCTGCGATTTTGAAACCATACCTTTACCTGCAAAAGACAAGTGTATTACAATTATAAGTTTAGATAAACAGAAGTGTAAAGCTGAAGTCAAGGTACAATGTCCAGCGTTCTTTGTTTTATCCCCATAGAAGTTAAGGCCAAATTCATTCTGTCTTTTCTTATCATGGATTGCTTGCCAATGAATTATAGCAAAGAGTAATATACTCAAGGATGATATTTATTGTAACTTCTTTTCACACAAATAAATAAATAAATGGATAAATAAATAGATAGATAAATAGATAAGATAAAGTAAATAAAACAGTTTTGCTTCGCTACGAGATTTGGATCCTTTATTAAGGGTACTCCACAATCGATCATCATAATTTCAACTTCTACCCCTACCTGCAGTATTACTGGGGGCAGTTTCGAACAGTTTTAACTTTCTGAAAAGTCATGAAACCAACACGATAAATAACTGTTGGTACCAATATAGAGGAAATGACATAATTTTCACAGGAAAATAACTTTTAAGACCTGTTTATTGTAAAAGGAACTTTGATTATTAAGTATTTGATATGACGTCAGTATGTACAGCCGATACCCAATGGTTGCGTTCGAAAACTTTTATGTGATATATGGTCATTCAGCATATTATTGAATATGGTTTTTACACGAAACGTAAGTTTTTTTTCTCTCGCAAATGTATGACATAATATATAATGATATGCAATGCACTAAATGTTAAACGAAGGTATCCGACACGCATGTGATTGCACCTTTAGAACTTGGTAATAGATAAAGTATGCAAAAAACATTACACTGCATCATACAGCTGTTTCGTCCTTCTAGGTCCCATAGCTGATGCTAGGAGTCAAAAAAAAAATGGAAATCTAAATTGACAAAATTATTGTTGAAAAAGAGGGGCATGTTTTTAAAACCGCTTAAATTATTAATTAAAAAAATCAAAGGAGTACTGGTTAATTTCAAATTAAATAAATATTATGAACAATTCAACTACTCAGAAGATATAACTGATCGTGGTTACAGCAAACGTTGAGGATTGTAAAACCACCAGCAGAGAGTATTTGGTATCACTGCAATATTATGACAAAGTACACGAATGAAATGCACTGCAATGTTCTTTTCAGATTTATCTATGTAATGGTTCCGCAATGATCTCTATCTTATACGAAAACACGTGGCCAAGAAATCAATGAACACGTGTAGTGCAAAGAAAGCACACGGAACCTTAAGAGGATGAAAGTAAATTACGTATGATGTTTCTCAATTTCGCTAATTGAACAACTTCATATCCAACTGATCCCCTTAGATCCCGTTTGATCTGATATCCCCTTATGATGTTTGAACCCTTATTCCCAGGCTCGAATTGTTAGTGTGAGACCTTATTATTGCATAACCATTCACAAGCTCCACACTACTTGGGATCAGGGGATCAGATTCATCACCTAGTACATACGTTTCTATTGCAGGAGGTCGATGCCAAAACACGTCAAGAGTTATTGATCTGACCGTATTGGGCACACAAACCCCTCTTCAGGTTCCACAAAGGCACCTCTGATTGCATGCACTTTTGGCAGACCAGCGACTCATTGTTATAAAGGGTTATTAGGCCGCTAATTGTGTTGTGTAAACAATACAAACGTGTTATCGCACATTTACGCAGGCAATACGGACCCTGATAAGACCCATTGATGAAGACTCCTAGCTTAGTGGTGGCTGGTACTTGAAGCGTTTCTATGCATTTATCCAGCGATCAGTTGTCACCAGGACCAAAACCGGCCTGTACAGTCACACAAATGCGTGACTGCTGGGGAAACTCGCCCTGGGTAATTTATTGCCTAGGTCAAAGATGGCTCTTCCGATGTGACATTGTACACTAATGGAAATTTCTTTATTTACAAAATTTTGGTGTCGAATTTATGTTGAAAAGCAGTGTATATATGGTATTTTCATTTCGATATTAGTATGTGTTAGCCTGTTTTCAGTTCTTTACAAACTGTAAATCACTAAATTGAGCGATATATACAATTTATGTATAAAGAGTGCGCTTAATTGAATTTGCCTTGTCCAGTTGGAATTTATATTGCCTATGAACTGAAAGCAGTTCAACGCTTAAATATTTCTGCGTTATTCGGTTCAAAATCTCCCGAATCTCGTGAACGTAAACGATACAAAGTAAATAAAGCGCTGATACTAAAATTGCTATGTATTATACTCTGCTTTACATCAAATGTTTTACACTATATTTAACATGGATAATCGATACTTTCACCAACGATCGCATGAAATAAAAACAAGCATCCTTACAATTATTACAATGTCTTGTTATGAATCCTAATTTTTTGTCCTTGTATGCCTAGAATGAAGCCTAGGTGAGTAGAGTCGATGCCTAGAATGAAGCCTAGGAGAGTAGAGTCGATGCCTAGAATGAAGCCTAAGTGAGTAGAGTCGATGCCTAGAAAAGTCATACTTCAGAGCTGTTTTTTGGACTTGGATCATACTTTCTTGCTTATAAAAAAATAAAGTAACCGAAAGGAATGGCTTTGCCTAAAGTTTCTAATCTTGGCAAGCTTATTATCTTTCGTTTTGAAACTATGCATTTGCTTTTTTAATATCAAACTTGTTGTAGTGTAAAAATGACAATAGTTAGACCTTTGCGATTTCCATTTTTTCCCTTGTTTTTTGTTTGTTTTGTTTCCAAATATTCAAACGTCGGACAACTTAAATTCTTAAAATAATAAAATTGTAAAATCTGTTCTATATGGAATGCATCTGCGGAAAACGACTTAAACAAACATTTGAATGTGCCATTATGAATAATTTTTTAAACTTTTCCGAATTTAAAGTGATCTTTACCTGTCCTATGCCATATTGTTTTCTGGCAATATCAGTACATGCATTGTGTACGCATGAGGTTTATTTTGTCACATGGACGTGAATAAGCAATATATCATGCTGTCTTCGAAGGCTTTGATGGCACCACATGGCCGTTCAATCATGACTCCATCACTAAGTAATTAGGGACAAAAAGGGGGATATTGAACACACACAGAGTTCAAAGGTTAAATAGATAAACTTTTCATGAAGCTCTAGGTAGCTCATTATCCAAAACAGAACACACCGGTAGGTCAAAGTTCATACCGATAACCTTCTGTAAGGCGAAAATATAGTATGAAATATGCAGTATTTGCCAAGACCAGTTTGACCTTGTGAACCAAAGTATTTACCCGTGTCGGTGTACGCTTAGGTATGAAACTGAAGATCTTACTAATCTTTGCTAATTGTACTAGGTGTATTCACATAACGAGGTAATTAGCTTTGTTTGGCCATGCCTCATTTCGTTCAATCTGATCAAGTCTGATGTATATATGGGTGCCACATAAATTGTCAATTACACTAGGGGATAACAATCCAGACTGACAGGTCGTCTTTATGTGTAGGGGGTAATTCTTGCACCTTGTTAGATAGGAATAAAAGATCCGGGACAATTTTCGCACCATACGTACATACAAGACAAAAGGCATTGTTGGCGTCGTAAAGACAGGAACTACACTGACATTTATGAATGAGAAGAAACACGAAATATGTAAAATGAATTTGCAAAAAATATCTAACTATGTTGACCTCATAATGAATGTTAATTTGTATAAATAGCCAATTCTATACTAAGACATTAACCTTATTTTTTACGTTGAATTATCAGATATTGTAAACCTATGTTTGATCTATAGTAAGCATTTACGCTATAAAGAGAGGAATTGTTTTCAGAAGAAAAATGTACGTTTTATATTGTTGTAAGTGTAACTGCTTCGTGTCAAATTGGCTTTGATGTCAATAAGGTAATTCTTAGTGTACGTATCAAATAGCAAACAGGTGCCCCTATTGATGAAATATAAAACGTATTTTTTTAGTTTTATAATTGTGTTTGATTCTTTTAATGTTTTTTTAAGAATGCAATGAATCACATGTTATCAAAAAATTACTGCATACAAAATGACCTCCCTTTGATTAACAATATTCCATTGGTCGATATCTGTAGATCTCGGCTATAATACCAATTGAGATATTTTCATGACATTGTTTAAAAAAAAACAATGATGAGGCATATTTTATTGTTGTTAATGGTTATAAAAATACTTCCCTTTATTTAGCAGATTGTGTGAGATCTGTTCTAAACACATTTTGTTTACAAACTTTATAAAGTCAAAACAACGAATTAATGTGTAAAAGATTCAAAAATAATACAAAAACGATATCAGGCACAATTATAGAAATGTGACATGAAAGTCTGGGTACAAAATGTATAGATGCTGACAAGAGAAATACGTGAATTATTTTATGTAATGTATTATATATTCTGTTTTATTTTCTCGATCAACTGCCTTTGTTATCACAACAATATCACAATCATTGTTATCAACATGATAAATATCCATCAAAAGATATTCAGTCTGTAAACACGTTATCGCTTTTCTTCTTGAGCATATATACTGGTATAACTTATGCAATGTTTAAGTACATGTAATGAATGCAAACTTTTGTACCTGATAAATCATTCTTTCTCTTGTCAATAAAATAAGATTTTTTTTAAATTTTTTATCTTCTCATTCATTTATTCATTAAATGTGATATACATTACTTTTTATATTTATGGTTCAATATTCTATTACCTAATGAACAATGGGTCAGAACTTGTACAGTAATAGCAACATATTAACACTGATGTCAATACTAAATGTATTTGGCATCATTAGTTTCCTGTATCTTATAATTTAGTAAAAATATTTAAATTAATTGATCTATTTATAAATCATTCTCACATTTTTTACATATATGACACACAAGTTAAATACAAATTCTTTGTTTGCACTTTACCAGAAATGTTAAATAGGAAAACTATGAATAAACAAATAATATTTAAAAAACATAAAAAAAATGCTTTTGTTAGCAAATCCCCACACTCAAGCCAGTTTTTTTACACGTTGTAGAACCAACACATTGTTAGGTTAAACCATTAAATGACATATATTTCATATATATATATATCATATTATATATAATAGGATGTACTGTACATTGAACAATACACTGAATAGGATAGCTATTATTGTTAAACTGCATAAATGATTTTAATAATATTTTGTTAATGAAAAGTTCTTGAATAGTACAGCCAATGATACAGGAGACAGATTTGCACTTTATATATTTTTTTTTACATTTATTCAGCCGTTTCACAACGATGGGAACGACGGAATTTGTCATCATTATCAAGGAGTTGTGGAATTTCCAGAAAAGAAGCACCATGAAAATCAAATAAAAATTCCAAGACAATAATAAAAAAACCAATTTCGCATATAGCGTGAACTAGTCAAAAACTACCATTTTAGATTGAAAGATAATCACAATTGTCTAACTATATATACGGTAAATTGAAATACTAAAAACACATATTTACTAATTACTCTGTTAATTGTTAAAGTTCAAACACAGTCATGTCCTACATAATTCGAGATTCGTAAGGCTTGTACAGCTTAAATTCCATCAAGTGATATCAATACTAATCATTTAGCCATGCTTCAACAGTATCTTTACCAATAAACAACATGGTTTACTGTCAATAAGTCAATAATAATACAATATTCTGACTGCATTTGTTTATCACTCCAACACAGGTTATTTAAGATATTCGTATTCAGTCACTTTATACAAAATGCACCTGATAATGCACTGGTCTGTTGGTATTCTTTTAAAAAGTCGTATTCAGTTACTCCGTACAATTATTGCACTCGATAATACTCTGATCTTTTGTTAAAGAGTCTCGTACTTCAGGTGACAATGCCATGGGGATATAGTAATGTACTATTGTTGTTACGACACATAAGAATACCATACAAGAGGATGCAGGCTTGTTAGTTTTATATGTTAAAAATAGGGTAGCTGTTTAAAATAAAATAATTGTATCTCATATAGGATTGGGAATCCTTTTTTATCATTCCGAAAAATAATTTTGGAGACTATCATATATTATAATTTACAATCTGTTTTGTTGGGAGCTGATATAATGTGAACTCGAGTTTGTAAAGACAGTATGTACTGGTATGCACCGTGTCTTCTAAATCTGTGTGCCTGCATGCGTGAGATGAAATTAGGGGTAATATTCATAACGACAAGCAAGCTTGGAATGACGAGGTCAAAGGTCAATATTCATAAAGAAACTTTAGCTGTTCACGATTGACTCGTAACGGTCCAGTACACTTAATTTCACAGGTAGTGCAGATAACGCCCCGTGTTATGATGATGGTGTTCTTAAGTACAGATGTACAGCTTGGGGTACCCCAGGGCTAATTAGTCTGAGACAGTTCTTCATTGATGTCTTCTTAGGTTTTATAAATAAATCAATTATCGAAATATTTATGACTTGAGACAGTATGTATTTATTTATACGGTATCACTTAATTATAATAATTTAAGGGTTAAATGTCATATCAAATATTTTATCTAGAATTCATTCATCTTAATACTATATCACTGCATTTAACCATTTCACAATTTAAAACTATTTATATTATCATTCATTTAGACATGCAATGGGTCAATGTTCCGGTTCAAATTAACGCTATTTACAATTTTACGATTTTTTTTTTTATATGAAGTAATTTTATCCATATTTCTTCTCCATTAACATATTCATTAAACAAGTTATTATTCCACAACTGAAATATACCAAGAAAACCGGTGTTTTATGTTTTTTTCCCATTCTTCTGCCTCTGACAATAGAGTAAGATTTTAATATCTTTTTTTTCATAAACATTGTTCATTAAATCATTTATGAGTTACCTCTCCATGAAGATTAAATATTCATTCATTTAACCGGAGTTTTATTTTGAATTGGCATCCTGCGAGAAAAAAAATCCATTTGATTTTGACTCGTTGTTTTCTTTTCCTATAAATACAGAACGTTTGGCAATCCCTTCCACTTTGTACTCACATCACGCGACACACAGATAAATAACCCCTTGTTCGAGACCTCATTTTTGTCTTCAGTGACAGAAGAGTTACATGCCAATACTCACACTGTTATCAATGGTGTTGGTATATTACCGTAATTGTCTAAATATTTACTCAAATACACGTTTTAATTTTCCGATATATAGTCATGTTCATTGCACTGAAAACGCTTAAAACAATTTTTATTTATATTGCTTTTTATTTCTGATATTTATGCATTCATCATCATATCATTTAGATGAGATCATGTATATTTTAAAATTCAATTTTAGTTTATTTAAGTATAAAACACATCGATATTCAATTGCTCAAATAATACATTATATTGAGAATTCTGATATTGTGAAATATTTATTATTCTAATAACTTAAGCAATTTTAACAACCCATGGTTTGTTTAGACATAATCTGCTGCTTGTGTTGAATGAATGAAGTTTATAACAAGTACATAAATTTCTTTGTTATCGAATCGTTCAAGCGAAATCATTACTGTCTTAAGACAGTGTGTTTGCAGAATTAGACTAATATATACTCATTTTATTTCCTAATAGAATAATATTTAATTCACTCAAATGATTACGCTATTACTAATATGAATTTTTCTTTCTTTTTAAAGCCGATGAATCGAATCCGGTATCGGTTAGAACCCATTTAAGAATAAAATATATTTCCCGCATGGAATAAACATAGCATGATGATAGGTAAATAGATTAACGGTTCAAAATTACTGTAAATATGAAGAACTAAACAAATATTACCTAAGCCCTAACAAGATGTGGACATCATTTTAACTGGTAACTTCAGTTACAGATCTTACTCAGAATTCTGCAAATATTTTATTGTATTTATTTATTGATTTTCTTTGCTCTGTTAAGCGATCAGTTATGGCAGGTACCTTTCGAATGTACCTCTGTATCATACAATTGAGATCAACAAAACATTGCCAAGTTGACAGCACGTTATTTAGTTAGATAACAACTTGTCATGATTCTGGTGAGCTACGTACTTGTGTTTCCGTAAGATGGAGGTCTGATGCTAGGTCTTTCCTTTCCTGTCCGACCACATAATGGTTTTTCTCGAAAGCGTGTTCAAGACGCAGAAGTTGTGAAGGAGCAAACGCCGTTCGGATTCTCTTTGGTTTCCGGAAACGTGAAAACAACAGGTCTGAATCAATGGTTGGAACTGGAAAAGCATATCAATAGAAATGAAAATTCAAATAATTTTAATGATCCAATAACACGATTAACTCGTAATTTACAATAAATGTATGTGGTTTTGTTTTCTTTCTTTTAAGAAAAGTAACAGCAATACATTTCATTAGAGTAAATATTTTTTTTATATAAATAGATAGGCATATTGAAGAAGAAGAATGGAAGTATTGTATGAAATTGTAGACTGCAATCTAGATATTAATCGATGAATGTTCGATTCATGTGAAAAACATGCACATATTTCTTTGAAAAACTACCATTTAAATGCATAATTGTTGTGTGGTGTTATTTCTATATAGAATATCGAAATCGTTATAACTCTGTTTCAACTAACTAGATATCTTAATGAGTCATTTTGTATAAGGGAGTTTGAAAATATCAAACGAACATGTTCATAATACTAGCTTTGTAAATCTATTTGACGCATTGTAGAGTTATGCTTTTTATAACCATGTTTAGAGTTCTTTTATTAGATAACTAATACAAGAACATTAAGTAATTGTCACGTTCCAAATCTCAAAAATACATTTATAAAAATGGAAACTATTCGTACTTGTTTAAACAAAGATGAAACTAATACCCTAGTGTTAACGGTAAAACTGTACTTCACAGCAGTAAATCATAATACTGTTGCTTCGTTCCCCAGCCAAGCTCCTCTGATTATACTGTCGTCATATTACTAATTAAATTCCTGATCACGCTAATTCAAAAGATCGACACATTACCGAATTAAAAGGATCAAATGGTTTAACTTGTTCTCCCTAGCCCTGACTTTTTAAATTCGATACTTCAACTCTAATAATCCCCACACAACGTGTTAATGATCCCTCTATGACTAATAAGGGGTTTTCATTAAAACATTAAATAAACGCTATTTTTAACAGTTTAGGCATTACTTTGATTTTCGTTGAAGCTGTTTTAATCGCCTGTCACTAATCTCCTATGTGCGGATTTCCCCTACTTCGTCTGTGTCCGATTATTGTACTGTTAATAAATACATTTCAATACATCAAAGATCATACTCCGGTTTTCATTCTGAGTGACACACTCGTTATGAATCCGTTACTTTGATGGTCCTTTAACAGCCCAGCGTTTTGTTCAGCATGTTCAATGTCAGGACAAATCATTATATCCCTTGTAAAAAAAATGTCGATTTCAAGTGGTCGAAACTCCGACCACAAAAAGAACACAAACATTTGATGTTCGATTCAAGCCCATTAATTGATAGGATTATCAGTGTTTGCTTCCCTCTCCAACGTAAATGATACGGTCAAATAAGGTTGACCACTGCATTCAAATTGGACAAAGAGTCTGGCGGACAGGGGGCGAAAGAGGTCACTGAAGGTGTCTTACTGCTGAATTAAACACCCGCGAGCTCCCAATGATGACCAGGCATACCTCAAATACCAGTGACAAATTTTCTAAATCGATACATGTTTAGAAATAAATCACAGAAACCATTTCAAACGTATAATTTTGTATTTGACTTGAAAATAAGCTTATTATCACCATTTAAAATACTGTTTATAGTTGAGGAAATTGTTTTCTAAATGTTTCACATACATTTTGTGATTGTCGTGGCATTCATTTACAATATTACCTGTCAGCACACACGAACTTTAACACGTTAATGGACCCACATTGTGTTTATGATCTATCTATGTCGAGGACAACAGTTTAAATAATCAAATATGATCTTTTGTGTGTGTGGGTTGTTTATTTTAAGAAAATATTTGAATTAAGGTTTGAGGTTAACACTTATCAATAATTCAATATAACGCTCACATGGAAGAACAAAAAAACAACATAATTTACAGAAAAGAATTGTTATTTAGAAAATGGTTGTTTATCCCCAGTTTCTGATTGACTTAGATTACATGTGTTATATTTGTCCTTGTAATATTAATATGCTTCTATTTTACTTATTGAATATAAAATAAAAATAAAAAAATATTGAAAGGACAAACCATGTAATCCATGCTGTTAATGTTTTCATACGTAGATTTTTTTAAACCAGGAAATTAAAGATATTTGTATCGAATAAATTAATGAGATAGATTTACATGCCTTCAATTAAGTAGCATAACGAAATATTTTCTTTTTTGATTAATGAAATTTAACAAGTAATCCTGAATGTGTCTTCATGTTAACTTTTAGTTAAAGAAAAATAATATTTTCTTCAAATATGTATAAATATGCATATACAAAAATGTTGCTTGACTTTTCATTCTGTTGAGAATGTTCTGCGTTTATCTTACAATTTTAATAGTCCCAGATTTGTTGAGAGATTTATATGTCGGGTTTCATCATTAAATTAGTTTTTGTCATCATCAGAATATATATTTATCTGTTGTGGAAAATTAATGCTTAAATTTAAAATAAAGATTTTTCCTGTAAGTATGTTTTAGAACCTGTTCAAGAAATTGGAATTTAAATTTAATTAATATTTCGTTGATTATGACACCATTATTTATAACTGATGTCTGCTGATATTTTAAAGTTTACCAATATGTTTTATGAATATTAGATAAATTATGTTAATAAAATGCGTACATTGGATTCACTCTCTGCTTCTATATCAGATTATCTTTTAAAATTATGGGCTTTGTAATTCATTTTGTTTAACAGACTATCTTGAAACAATAAAATTATGATAAGTTCTAAACACCTATTTTGAATTGGAACGCCGACACAGTGTCATTTGATATAAGCACAAAATTGTGTACCAGCCGAAATCAAATATCAAACAAGCACTTCCATCAGACATCAACAACAGTACTTCTTAAAATAATTTATAATCTATATCCACGAATTATCACTTGAAATTTGAAGAAATCAAGCCCCTATTATAACACTTTGTTTGTAGATTCATTACATTAAATTATATTGATGACAAATTAATGGTTTACAAACATTTTCTTTCCCAGGCTAAAAACAACAAAGCTATTTACTTACCGTTAAATGGGGGTAGACTAAGTGATAACTGATATTGATACGGATTGAATTCGTCTTCTGAAGTTCTCGTCCACCTGTTGGGGAAAGTTGTTAAAGCATTATCGACTCTTGTACCAACTCCATTGTCTGTAGCACCGAAACACGACATAGAAAGTCCAGTTAATGCACAATATTTTTCATGGAGAGGCGGCATTTGGTCACCCCTGAACCTCATAAGCAGAGGGGACGGACGCGAGGGGATAGGCAATGAACTGGTAGGGTGATAGCCCGGGGCCATCTTCCGCCCCTCAAAGCAGGGTAAGCACGGACCACCTTCTAAGCAAGTATGTAAGGAGTGGCACCTGTCGTAGACGGGCTGAGAGTCCTTCTCCACCCCTGAGGTTTCCGATGAGGTGCTCTCCCCCGGGGAAGGTGTCCTGAGTTTAGCTTGGACAGTATCATCCTTTTCCGTCTGTGGCCCACGGCCAAGCAGAGAGTCTATACTAAATCCATGAGGTCTTTTGGTTGTTACTCCTGTAGCAATCATTGTCGGTTATTTATATTAGATACAGGTAAAAAAGACAAGGCACCACGATTGGCAGTTGAACAGATAATGTCCTTAAGCCTACCATGCATTGTAATGCAATGATTTCACTATACTATAGCTTAATCATAACAGCATGGTCGTCTCATATGAAATAGTTTCTAGAGAATGGTGGTATACTCCTTTACATTAAGAACTGTTCTATCAATGTCTCCTGTCCACTGTTCACATTTACAACTAAACAACATGACACCTACACGTTTGCGACCTTTAAAGTGTTTTCTCCAATTCCGTTGTGCATGTAAATTTATTTGATACGAATTCCTGCTTATTGGCCGGGAGAAGTTGTGTTACAAATGACAGTAGACCGACAATCTCATGCTGTCACGCACACGGTCAAAGGTTACGGGTCAGAGGGCAGTGCTTACCCGGATGACTAGTTCACCCTTTCAACATTAATTTCAGATTACACCGCAAGGGAGAGGAGGATATATATTTAGTCATGGTATTGGTATAGATTATACCTGTCTTCGTTGACACGACAGGGTGATATTAATGTTTCTATTTTATTTACTACCAACAACATTATATATACTTGTGTGTACAATATAATACTTTAAGCACGTATCACACACACATACCAACATGCAATCATTATGGACACATTCAATATACACCTATTAAATAACGCTTTGGTTATATTCCAGACATCGAACTTGTTTAATGATTTACAAGTCTTTTAAACTTTTCTGTCAATTAAACATGTATACACTATAGACGTCTTGCAGCCTATTAGCGACACTAAATTATGTCTTGGCGGGGTCAACATACCGGTTCACGTACTAACGTATACTAATGTATGGGTAGTCGACATTCAAATTAACAGTGTGATTGATTCCATTGCCCCATAAAACGTAAAGGTGTATGGTTCGGGGATTGATTTTGCTATACGTGCTAACAGTAAATGTAAATTGACAGTACTAATTGGTGCTTTGATTGATTTACTCTAACGTTGTGCTTGTATAGGTAACGTTCGTTAACGGTAAATTCACGATGGTATTAACAACGAATAATATACAAATCTCGATATTAATGCATTTACCATATTGTAAACGGCGTTTTGTGTTTACATGTCCATATGTTGTAATTGACTGTATTGTACGTTCAAATAGGAGAACAATAATAGAGTTTATTATCTCAATATATTTTTCATTTTTTTAGCACCAATACTAATATAGATTTCCTTTACTTGTGTTGCTTATTTTAATTGAGAGTACTAATTACAGTACTAATTGTAGAACTATATTTGTAAATGGTAACCATGTTTGCTTAAATGTCTATTTCCATTAAAAATTATTTAGTGGGAAGGAACACAAATATCTAAACGTTATAAAGCAATCCCATACCTTTTCTGAGGTCTTAATGACCATAATTGACTCCAGGTAAATGAGTACCTCTGATATCCGGCTCTGATCGTGTTAGTAAGAAATAAAGATAAGGAACATATTTAACATGTATACAACCTGCCATTATTTTAGTCAATGACCTGTCATAGTTTATTGTAACCGATTCTCACTCGTGATGATAAACATAATCTCGTTAAAGTTCCCTAGGTACCTTAATATATTTTGAGGTTTTATATTTAGGATATTGTAAATATTATGTGATGACTACAAAAGATTTTGCAAAAACAAACAATCTATTAATAGTTACTCTACGCCGACGTGACATGCTTTCTTTGACATAACTACGTGTATGGTTTGCTAAATATTGTCGACTTATACCATATATACATTTATTAACATAATGTAATTTTAAAATATAATAAATAATAACAAATACTGAAATACTCATTCTTACTACCGTTTACTCATTATAAGCAAAGAAGTATTGTCGACATAAGAGACATTAAAAATGTTTATTGTTGTTTCCGGTATATTCTGATTATGCTTTCAAACCGCAATACCAATATCAATGAATACTTGTATTTCATTTAGTACTTTCAACAATAACCTTACTAATTAATAACTAGGGAAATTTTAATTTGATATAAAATATACAATAATATATCTCTAAATCTGATGACTTCTTACCGTATTATTCAAAACATTTTACTATATAATAATTATTCAAATTGCAATCAATCTTTACAAGACTTTATGAATATTGGTAATGGGACATCATTAAATGCAAATATAGAATTTACAATGATTCAATGACAACCCGTATTGATAATGTGTTTTTTATGATTATTTGAAAAAGATCATTTAGGCACAATGGCAAATATTTCTTACTGCTTTCTTCATGAAAAGAGCCGAGCAAGAAATAAAACAGCGATCGCTGTCATTGTTAAAACAAAATGTTGTTTTATTGACATTTTAACCAATACAGTTGAGACTTTCCTTTCGATTGAATTAAACCGTTTCAAATTGCCTGACATTGATACAGCCGACAACCAATCCGGATGAAATGTTATAAAGATTTAATGATATTATCTAATAGCTATCCATTCAAATATATCACAGGTATTTTTTCCTCATAATATCCAGAACAAAGCGATGTAAGCCTCAGAGTAAAATGCGTCTACAATATACAGTAGTTTATCTTTGTTTCTACGCCGTAGGGTCGCAGTGGCAAAGTGGTTAAGGCGTCTGACATTCTACTACCACTAGCCCTCCACCACTGGGTCGCGGGTTCGAGACCTACGTAGGGCAGTCGCCAGGTACTAGCCGTAGGTCGGTGGTTTTTCTCCGGGAACTTCGGCTTTCCTGCACCACCAAAACCTGGCACGTCCTGAAATAAATGATCATAGCTGTTAATAGGCCGTAAAACACAAACAAACAAACGCTTTCAATATTTCTTACAATTTCATCAAATTGATTTGTTTTAATCTCTTAAAAGATATATAGGCAATCGATTTTTTCTAAGCACAGAAAAATAGAAATGAAATACATTTAGTATTTTATCATAGGTGAATATGTCAATGGGTTCCACATGTGGTTCTCATCACATTGGGGGGCTTGCTTCCCCTCTGGACTATTGTGGGTACTAAAGGTGACTGTGATCGTGTAATAATGTCTTTTAGTGTATTTTGTATGATTTATTAAAAGTTGAGTTCTGAAATGGTACTTTATATTAATACAGTGTTTAATATTTGTCAAATTACTCTGTTTAAAATTCATGTTGTCAGCCATGTTATTTTTGGTTTTACATTTGATGGAGAAAATATCCATTTAACAATCTCCATGGAAGAAACCGCAACGTTTAATGATACATTATGATATATACCGTTGTGCCAGGTATGACAAAATTTCAAACACCAGGTAAGATGTTACACTTGGTCGACTCCGAGCTAACTGGCAGTGGTAATTTAACATTGACAGTAAGATACCATGCGGGGAACATAATGTACTACCCATGCTATACTATTCTATTCATGAATCGTAGCGACAACAAAGTCCACACAACAATCATTTCTATCGCTATTCAGTATTATTGTTATGCAATCCGGTCAACGTGTAAGAAAACTAAAGGTTTTGAAAAGGACCACCGGCTGGGCAACAATAGGTTATCTGCTGATATGTCAATCAACTCGACGATAAGTACAGCACACTAACAAGGCTAAACGCACCAACGTTTATTTTAAAGGACGAAAATAGCATGAAGAATTATAAAGTCATATACACATATGTCATATGTAGATTATGCACGTGTACGATCCAAAAATCATATTCCTTTAAATGGTTTCGAGACAAAAAGACACCTAAGATTGTTTTTTGTGGTTTTGTAAGCAATTTTAACAATATGTGTGCGTTACGCTTGGTTCCCCCCTCTCTCCCTACCTCACGCGAGCTGGTACCAATTACACGCTCCATTCAGTCCTCCCTTCCTTCCTTCCTCTCCTACCACCCACCTCCCTCCCTTCAACCCTTCTACTCATCCACCCACTCACTCACTCACTCACTCACTCACTCACTCACTCACTCACTCATTCACTCATTCACTATCACTCACTCACTCACTATCACTCACTCACTATCACTCACTCACTATCACTCACTCACTCACTCACTCACTCCTTCACTCACTCCTNCACTCACTCACTCACTCACTCACTCACTCACTCACTCACTCACTCACTCACTCACTCACTCACTCACTCACTCACTCACTCACTCACTCACTCACTCACTCACTCACTCACTCACTCACTCACTCACTCACTCACTCACTCTCAATCACTCACTCTCAATCACTCACTCACTCACTCACTCACTCACTCATTCACTATCACTCACTCACTATCACTCACTCACTCCTTCACTCACTCACTCCTTCACTCCTTCACTCCTTCACTCACTCACTCACTCATTCGCTCACTATCTCCCTCACTCGCTCACTCACTAAAGGTTATGCATTATTTTTGAAAGTAGGAACATAGATAATTTGAGCTAATTGATACTGTAGATGACTTTTCTAGAGGTGCAGACATAAACGCAGTATCGATAATCTAATTAAATTAGAACATTTTAGTTTAGAACACAAATCATTACTGGAATTGATGACGTGGCTTACATTTTCGAACTTTTAGCTGGCTGGTAATTGACTTCGTCTCTCTAAGTGACCTTTTAAGACCATCAAATTGTCGAAGTAATGACCGTTTTGAAGTAAATCAGGCACAATGATAAGTAACTGACCAATTAACCTGGCACCTGATACGATAATTTAGCCACCGTGGAGGAAGCTTTTGTATCCGGTCTACTTCTGGAACTGATAAGGGACGTTTAGACCAATGGGGCAATAACATGAAGGGGTAACATTCTCTTTCAAATAATTTTTCAAAATATGTGTTTTTAAATTAGTCATTCATACAAATCAACAGCAGCGAGGTAAACATGAATCAATCATTTCTTCACAAAAGAGGTTTATAGTGATACATTTGTTAAATCACGAGCGTTTTCGTTTCTTCTATTCTGTAAAATGGCAGCATTACTGTTCTAACATGAAAGGAATTATTGATTTCTTTGTATTTGCATTTGTCACGTTTAAACTTCGTGATACAATAGAGGGTAATTTACTCGATTTCCTTTTATTTTTGTTATTAAATAAGTACATATATTTTTTAGAAAAAAATACTTTTTAACCAATTTTGAAGTTTCATACTAATCTGTTATGCAAGTACATACAAAATAATAATATTGATATATATTTTGGTCAGGCTACATGTATAATGAAAGCTGTATAATATAATTTCTCTGATCTCACCTTTCATCTTTCACCTGACCATGTTAATCTACATATTTTTCTTAACACTTTAGATATGGATATAAATTAATTGATTT